CGGCCACGATGGTGCGTCAACCCCAAATACAAGTCAGAAGTAAATCATATTGAAGAGGCTCTAACACAAGGATCATGCCATAACGTTAACAAATAAATCAGGTTGGTGTGGGAAAATACAATTATTTTTCTGGTGTGTGTGTGTGTGTGTGTGTGTATGTGTGAGAGAGAGAGAGAGAGAGAGAATTTGATGGATTTTGGCCTTGAGTGAAAAACAGAAAGATGAGTCAGTTTAGATACATTACTTCCGTCATTTGTGAAAACTGGCTCATCTCCAATTTTCCTTCCTTCCCTCCTCCTCTTTGCCTTCCTTCATTACCTCCTTCTCTCCTTTTCTCCTTCCTTCTTTCCTTTTATTTTTAAGAAAATGAACCCACTGTTCTGGTTTCTGCTCATTAAGCATTTAAAAGGGCACTGAAAAACTGAGTTAGATTTTATGTCCAATATTTGGCAACATAATACAAAATAACATTATTTAGGGCATAATAACTCTAATTCAGTACTCTCCATAAAATTTAGTAAGGCCAAAAAAAAAAATCTCTAGTGGTAAACTCTGAATTCTCCTATACTCCTTGCTTGCTCCTCACCAGAGCCAAAGCTTTCTTAAAAATGTTTTTTTTTTTTCTAAAATCACAGTCTGTTTCTTTTGCAGACTTGAATAGGAAGACCCTGGCTTATTTTCATAAACCAACATTAAAGACACACGCTATTAGAATTCTCCTTGGATGGACCCTAATGGTGAAATAAATTTGCATGGCATATATCTAAGCTACTAAAGGGTTAACAAAAAGAAACTTGACAAAATGAAGCATAGAGCTGCTTTTCTTAAATCAATTATGAATATTATTTAGAATCATGAGGCTCTTTATATCTGGACTACTATTAGGGTACGTGCCTACAAATCTAAAAAACCCCCAAAAAACAACAAAAAAAACACCCCTCCAGTATTACTCACAGTGACATCATCAGTTTCCAAGGCCAGTTTGCGGCTATTAAAAGCCGTGATATCTATCATTCATATCTCCCTGACAAAAATCTGAGACTTAACTATTCTTATGAAATGTTTATATCAATAACTGTGAAATAAAGTTTATGGTTTTAATTTTTGGCTCAGCATTTTTGCTCTGCTCTTTTATTACAAATGGCATTCATATTTCAGTCTCAAAAACAGAAAATTATTCACTACTTAATCGACTTAATAAAATCCTGTTATTACACGGGAGCTTTTCCCCTCCTCTCAAAAAACTTCACGTAGATCCCTTATCAATTTTTAAACCTTACTATATTATATCTAAAATAAGTATCCTAAAAACAATAAAAAATAAAATAAGTGTCCTACTTCAGCATTAATAGTGTAGTATTTTTATCAATTTAAAAATTATATTTGGGGGCGCCTGGGTGGCTCAGTCAGTTAAGTGACTGAGAAAGTCGGTTAAGTTAAGAGAGAAAGTGACAAGATAGCAATAATCTGAAAGTTGAAAATAGAGCATTGTTAAAAAGTTCTTGCATATTCACATACAGAGATACCATGCTGTGTTTATAATTATGTTTAAAAAATATTTAACGACATGGGAAAATGCTCACAGTATAATTTTAAGTAGAAAGAAGCAGAATGCAAAGCAATACGATCCTGGTGTACACACACACACACACACAAAGACTAAAGGAAAACAGTAAAATATCAGCAATTGTTTATGAATAACAGAAATGATATATATTCCAAATTTCTAAATTTTTTTTTACAATAAGTATATATTCTTCTTGACTAGAAATAATGAATCAAAGTCCATTTAAAAACTACAACAAAGTACCATGGTTCTTTTTAGAGGTACAAAGTGATATCCTCAAACCTTCCCAATATTAACTCATGAGGTAGTAGAGCTGTTATTCATATATAGAATGATGGCTTTGACATTTTACACTCCCATTGGTGAAATGAATAATACAGTTTCTTCCACCTCCAGAACTAGCTTCGAAGCTATCATCCTAGAGTCAACCATTGGAACTCACCTCCCCACTGCTGCTCATGGTCATCAAATCCAGCTCTTGGCTTTCTCAGTCACCCGTCCTGTACAGTACTTCATTATCCTATGCTTCGGTTATAGTAAACCCCTCTTTTTTAAAAAAAATTAATTATTTTAAAATGCGGGGCTTGAACTCACAACCCGAGATCGGAACCTGAGCTGAGATCAAGAGTCAGACGCTTAACTGACTCAGCCACCCAGGTGTCCTGTAGTAAATCTCTCTTAATTTTAATCTTTTGCTCTTCATTCTCCAAGTCATCCTACTTTCCACTGTGGGATTAATCATCCTAAAATTCCAATTGCATGAAGTCGTTTGTCAGCTGCAAACTCTTCACTGATTCTCTATCTCCCATCATGCAGCCCTAAAGCCCTCCTACTGGGAGCTTAATATTTATCACTTCTAGTCAGATCGCTCCATCTCCTCAGAAGTGCTCACTGCCGTCCCTGTGCCATTTTCATCCTGTTCTATTTATTTCCCTGCTCATCTACTCCAGGACACACCTATCTATTCTTATATGGATCTCCCATAACACACATGCTTATATAAAGTCAAATTACTATTTAACAATAAGTTGCTCATTTTCCTTCCAGGTTGGCTCTTGTGTATAAAAGTCTTTCCCCCAAGAAAGCTAAAATGTTTTGGAGATCAAGAACCATGGTTTATCATTAACTGCTGCACACAGCACACAGCACAGAAAAAAATACATGTAAAACATGTTCAAAGGAGGCAGCTAGTAAAGGGGAAAAATCATTAGATTGTCACTCTGGAGCCTTGAAATCTGGTCCAGCGTGACCACTTCTTAACCAGCACTTTTCCAGCCAGGTCCTGGGGCTATGTTCTGTTCACCCATTATCTTATTTAATTTGTTGATATGATGAAATTGCTCATCTCACCAACCCTTGTTTCCTTGTTAGAATACCAGTAACTGCCTCAAAAAAAAAAAAAAAAATCAAACGTGAAAGCAATTTTTAAAAATGAGACTTTATATATATTAAAGAGCTGTTACAATAGCCACTATCAGTCTTGAGAGCAGCTTAATCATAGTATAAGGGGAAGGAAAGCAGATGTCAGAGAACCTGGGTTATCACTGACTTCCTGGTTGACCTGGTTATCACTGACTCTTCCTCCTTGACCTGACTTATCACTGGCCCTTCATGGTTGGGAGATCATGGACTGTGTCACTTAGCCTCTATGAATTTCCGTGTCTTAACTGATGAAATGGGTATAATAACTCCATCGCTCTCATAGCATTTCATTCATTCACTCACAAAAAATGACCTACTCACACTTTGGCCAACACTTATAATACAATTAGAACCAAATGATTAAAACAAAACATACATTCAAAATAGTGTTCTAGTTCCCAAGGAGTTCACAGACAGTGGAAGATATATATATATATATACAGACAATAGACCATGAAAATTGCCATATTTAGAAGAATCTACTAAGTCCTTTGTACTGACACTCAATCTGTGGAGGTCAAGAAAGATAACATTTGAGATGTGTCTAAAGAAAGTTTGAGGTCTCCAGGTGGAGGGAACAGTAACATTCATGGTCTCACTTTGGTGAGGCCACAGTGCTGCTAAGCAATGTATGCTGCCTGTTAGAATTTCTTCTCATTTCTTCAGAGGCAGGCTTTTATTCTCGCCAGGTTCCTGGCTCCACCACCTCTACCCTCTCACTTTCAAAAGATAACACTGAATTATAATTTCTACAAAAGTGAGAAGTCATCAGGTGAATACTTTCTTAACTTCCCTCTCCGTGCCTAACAGTGACCTTCCATCACAGCCATCAGATTCCCCCTGCCCTCTTGCCCCAATATCAACATTTATAAATTACTCTCCACCTATATTTTTGTATCTCCTTTGCACTCTTCACCCCTGTAGCCTTCCAAGGGCTGTGACCCTATCATATATGCCATCTCTCCATTCTCCAATAACATAATCATTAATGACTCCCAGCCATCAGCATTTAAACACATTCGAGTCGTCTCTTCTGTTAACAACCCACCTCTCCTATACACAGTTTTCCTGTTCCCCACCTCTTGCAGATACAGCGCATCTCCTTCTTCCCTGGACGGTCTACAGGATTATCTCCATTTTCTTACCTTCCACCCTTCCTTCAAATCACTGCAGTATGATTTCTGCCCTCATGATGTTATTGAAACTGCCTTTGGGGCGCCTGGGTGGCTCAGTTGGTTAAGCGACTGCCTTCGGCTCAGGTCATGATCCTGGAGTCCCAGGATCGAGTCCCACATCGGGCTCCCTGCTCAGCGGGGAGTCTGCTCCTGCTTCTCCTTCTGACCCTCCCCCCTCTCATGCTCTCTGTCTCTTTCATTCTCTCTCTCTCAAATAAATAAAATCTTAAAAAAAAAAAAAAAAGAAAAAAGAAACTGCCTTTGTCCAGTTCACCGAAGACTTCCTTGTTAAATATCTTCAACTGATTTTCACAACACTGTATACTTCCTTGATTTTCATTATTTTCCCCTGATAATTGCTGTTGTACCTTCAAAATAGTATTTCATGTCCTCTCTCCAAGTATAACTCCCCATGCATGGTTTTAATTATCTTTTACTTGCTAACATCCAAATCTCAGCATAATTTCCTTGAACTTCAGATAGGTCGCATAATTCTTGTTCTGCTTAAGATTGTAAACTTTAATGGGGTCCATGGGGAATCATTTACAAGTTTCCTCTTTTTCTTTTTTTCTCCTTTTCTTTTTATAAGTTTCTTTAAGAAGGGGAGTGATTGAATCACATCTGTGTTTTTAAAATATGACTCATAGTAATGTAGAAAAATAGGCTCAAGGGATAAGAAATTGGAGGGAAGAGGACTAAGATATCTACAAGGCATGCAAAAGAACATGCTAGATCATGGGATGCTATATAAATTTTCCTTACCTTGAACGGAGGACTAGAGTCACATGGTCTTGCAGAAAAGTCAAAGGAGATAATGAGATCAACTCCCCTCTGAGGTCTCAGGATCAAGGGGTATGGCAGGTTAAACGTGAGGCCACTGTCCACGACGTGAATCTTTTTACTTTTGACATCCAGAGGCTCATATATTTGCTCAAATTCATCAGGATCTTTAAAAAGGAAAGAAACAAAAGAATGAATTAAGTGACCACTTAACATTATTTAGAACATAAAAATATTTTTAATGTCAATTTGTGAATACAATTTCATATGGTTAGGCCCTCAGGGGAGTCAAACAGAACTGGACACGAGTCCTGCTTTAGCAACTGTAAATGAATTATTTTCTTTAACTCAGAGTTTCCACTTTCAGGGTTAAAGGTCAAATAAGGGTGCTGTGAGGACTAAGTGGGACAATGCATGGAAAGTACTTAGCTCAGGCCCTGGCATTAACTCTAAGCTGCGATCATGATTCCTTTAACAGTATTACCTCACTTTACCTAGGTCTTTACTGGCTTAAAAGCATGTCCTCAGACATTATCTTGTTTTAAGTCATGACAGACATGTGAGGTAGACGATCTCTGTAAGTGAAGGATGAAATAAATTCATCTCTACAGTGACAGAACTGGGGAGTGGCGGAGTCTGAATGGATCCCACACTGCATCTCCCAAGGTGATTGGAGTTCAGGGAAATCACCCAGTCAACACATTCAGCAGACATGTATTGTCTGCTACTATTTGGGCTCTATTCTACGTGCTGAACAAGATGCAAACTCTGCTCTAACAGAGTGCATGACTGACAAATCAGTAAACAAATAGATAGTTCAGGCAGTATTAAATGCACTGTAGAAAATGATAGAGGGTCATATCCCATAATAGGGAGTAACTTCAGTTGGATAATCAGGAGAGACCTCTGAGAAGACGACCTTAAGCTGAGACCAGATTAATAATATAGAACAGGCCAACCAAAGATTTGGGGGGATATTTTTTCCAGGGCAAGAGCCAGAGCAAAGGCCCTGAGGCAGAATCAGACTTGGTATGTCTTAGGAACAGCAAGAAGCCCAATGTGGCTACAGTATTGGAGGAGAGTAGAATGAGGTGACAAGGGGATCTGAAAGAAAGCAGGGTCTAGAAGTCATTTGTTTTAATAGAAAACGGTAACATGCTTCTCTTCACGTTTATGTGTGGTACTCCTCATTCACTTCCCACGAAAAAGAGGTGTGATCAGAATTGAACTGATTTGAGCTGAATGAAATGACATGCAATTGTTTTGTTCTGTCTCCTTGTCCTCACATGTGTTCCGTTAAGAAGAAGGCTGGAAAGTTCAAGAACAGAGTGAAGGTGTTCATACTAGACATGCATTATGATCTCTGAGAAAGCTAGTAACTTCCATTTGGTAAGTCTTTTCATAGAGGCAGTAATAAAAACTAGAGGGTCAGACTAACCTGTGTTTATAGAACCCCCCCCCATACAAGGTGGTTAATATGTATTATCCAGGAAAAGGCTCAGCACATGGTGGGAATCCACTGCATGTTCATTTCCTCCATATATTTCTAAATAAGAATGATACTGACTATAATCCTCTCATAGTGAATTTTATCATTATGTTTTAAGAGCAAGGGATCCCAAAGAAAGGCAAATCTTTTAAATTCTTCCTGTCCCATTAATCCCACAATTCTCCTCATCATTAAAATCTGAAAAGTAGCAATGAAACAATTAGGCTTGACGTTTATTCAATGTGAATCGAAAACAGTTCTAAATTAGATTTGGGCTTAATTACTTAAGAAAATGTTATTATCTTTTACGTTTCTACAGTTAACAGGGAATCATGTGGTTTTTTTCTCTCCTGTTCATTAAAATTTCTCATCCCTAGAATACTGAATAACAAGTGAATGCTACAAACATATACTGGTGTGTTTAGGAATGAAGAGGAAAAGAGTTTACAGTTGAGGTGATTTGTATTGTCCAGAACTGGTGAATGAGAAAAGGTGTGAATGAATGGTCTTAAACAAAAAAACAAATATGCTAAAAAAAAAAAAAAAGCTATGGGGGAATGGTTTAGAAAAGAATAAGGTCGTATGATTGAATATATGACTGAACGAAAAGGTAGGCCAAGTTAAAAAAAAAAAAGTCTTGCTATATCTGAGGTGAATGCGTAGGCCAACAAGGACAGAAAAATCATTCGGTAAATAATTATCTCCAGGTTAATTCTCCTTTCTTTTTTTATCAAGTATGTGTGGATTGTAGTGACAAAGTACTTTGCTACCAGCCAAGATTCTAAATTTCTATCACAGAAACTTAAACCTCAGAATTATAACATTGAAAAATATATATATTCTCAAACACGATTTTAATATTTTCCTCTGAAATGTTTGTTTAAAAACTACATATGTAAAAAAATTAAAAAAATAAAAGACTACATATGTAAATTTTCTAAAGGTGAACAATTGTGGGTCTTTGTCTTCTATTAGTTTTTAAATATTTGACTAAGAAGCTGGACGTTCATTACTTGGGTACTTTTATTTCTCTTAAAAGCAGCTTCATGTATTTTGAGTGTCTCTCATGTATTAGAAATTTTATATATGAGATTTATCATTCTTCTAAGACTCTTACAAAAGAGGTATGATTAGTGTCATATGAAAGATAAGGACGCTAAGACCCAAGAGGTCCAGTTTCACACAGTGACAGTCAGGATTCCAAGCCTGGCCCAGGTCTAAGCCAACTGCATCCTGTGTCCCATGGTTGCTTCAGTAAGTGGTGGGGCTATAGAACTGAAAAGGTTTAAAAATGGCTAACTTAAAAATCAGCAATTACAACAGAGAGAGGCTAACTACGCGTGCAGCTGTCAATCATCAAAACCACATTAGTATGTGTCTTTAATCACAAGTCAACACAAACGTCTTAAAAACACATTAGTGGCAATATTTTTTACAATGCAGTGATTTCTCCTCATATTATAAAGTATAATGACAGTTCACAAATAGTTTTCTTTGGCTTCCTACACTTAGTGCTTTTTTTTGAATTTTAGCTAAAAGATTCACCGAAGCAGACCATTTCTCTCACATTGTTTGATATGCTCCTTCTCGTCATGAAACTGGTAGTCTCCTTTTTTCCTCTTTTATATCCAAGATAACATCTGAGAGACAAATCATGACGTGACCAATTCCCAGGTCTGGCATGTAGCTAAACACCATGGTTCCACCCTTCCAAATAAACTGACAGGAAGTAGTGTTTCTTAATTGTGTTGCAAACAACATAGTTTTGCAAGATATTAACAGATGTTCTATACACAAAATAAGAGTTTCATGATCAAATAGGTTTGAGAAATAGAAGATCAACAGCTTAAAGTAATGGCCAGTTATATTGTGTATTTCCTATTCTCCTTACTATGCCTTGGGCTAACTGCCCTTTTTAATGAGGATGCTACTTAAAAAAAAAAAAAAATGCTACTTAATCTTCACAGGAAGTCTGTAAGATGGGTACCACTATTATTTCTATTTTGTAAGTAAACTTGGAGTAAATAGTGAGGATTGTTGCAACCTTGCTGTCCTATGGTTCCAGGTTCCATCGGGATCAGGGGTGTTGGTTTTTAGTTTGGCTCCATTTTTCTATCATTGCTAACCGATGTTTATGCTAAGTAACTGCTCAAGACTGTCCTGCTAATAAATGGCCCAGCCAGGATTCAAACGTAAGCCAGACTGCTTTTTCAAGTACTATCTTGAGGCACCTTGAATAGGGCTGCTTAAATTCATTAGAGTATCCCAAGTCATTACGAAGAGGGGGATGGAGTTAGTTTTTCCAAATTTATTTGACCTTGAACCCGATTTATTGTATAACATCTACTAGAATGTCCGAGAGAGTTTGAGAAATCCCACTATGGGAGAATATCCTCCCACAGTTTAAAGCATACATAGTTTCTAAACCTGTAAATGAGTTAATCAGGTTCTTTGTTAGGTATGGAAACATGCTGTGTTTTATAATTATGTACCACTTCCTTAAAGCAGTTCAGCTATGAATATTTGCAATGGTCATTTTTTTTTTAAAGATTTTATTTATTTATTTGACAGAGAGAGAGAGCAAGAGAGTGAGCGAGCGAGCACAAGCAGGGGCAGAGGCAGAGGGAGAACAGGCTCCCGCTGAGCAAGGAGCCCACTGAGGGGCTCGATCCCAGGACCCTGGGATCACAACCTGAGCCAAAGGCAGACACTTAACCGACTGAGCCAGCCAGGCACCCCTGCAATGGTCATTTTATAAATACCTCACACAGATTCAATTTATGATGTACAAAAATGTTTGGGTGTTTGTGTATTGAACTCTGGCCTAAATTAACGCATGCCTCGATTTTTTATTCCAGATGGTATGTGTCACAGTAAGTAACATAAACACAAAAGTAAACAGGAAAGAAGTCACATAAATAATGGACAGCTTCTCTGAAATTAGTTTCTACGGGTATACAACTATTTTGAAGTAAGCAAGTGAGAGGAATTCCCTCATCTTATTATTTCTCTTATTTTCAGAAGATTGTCTACAAGGTGAAGTAATAGGTACAAAATATTTTTCTCATCTTAGGTTGAGAGATTAGTCTAAGATACTCAATTTTAATCTGTACAAACAAAATCATAGGGTAAACTAAAATGTAAGATTTTCCTACACTAAAATGTAAGATTTTCCTAATACAATATTTAGATAAGGTAAAAATCTCTATTTCTTTTTTGCGTGGGGGGAGTAAAAAAAATGAGCAAAATAACCTTAATGTTTTAATTAAATTATGGTATTTTTGACTGTATAGTAAGTAGGGTTTTTTTAAAAAAGATTATTTTCTAGTGAAAGAGCTACATTTTAATTACTGAAGACGGTACAAATTGATGTAACTCTCATACAAAAAAATTTGGAAATATGTCAGGCCATGAAAACGTATATACCTTTTGACCCAGTAAATCCCACTACTGGGAATTTATACAAAGAAAATCAAAAACAAAAGAAAGAAGGAAAAAAGTCTCTGTATATAAATATGTTGCAGGAATAAGCAACAAATTGGGAACAAACTAAATGTCCAATAAGGGGAATGGGGAAGTAAATTATACAAAATACAGAATAGAGGTTTTAAAGTTGACAATTAGACTTTATAGCAGCATTTTTAAAAAAAGGCAAGTTACAACACTATTTCTGCAATGATTAAAAATTTAGAGAAATGATGCATTTGGAAAAAGATGAAGTGGACATAGAGTTGTTCACAGTAATAACATTAGATGTGAATTCTCTCACACTTTATGTCATGTTTTCATATATATCAACAAATATATTCATATTATCAGATGCATAAATCTTAAATTAAAATAATTTGAGACAGATGTCCAAAAACAGTGCTTTATGAAAAAGAAGATGTTGGGAAAGTTTCTTATTCTGTGATTCCTTTTGTCCTTTTAAGCACACTACTTAGTTAACAATAGATGAGTGGTTAAGTTTGTCAAGAATTTCTAGTCAACCAAATGCCGCATGTGCCCAAGTATCTCCATGCCAGACAAAGCCCAGGAAAGAACAATAATGCTTTTGGCCCAGGCTGAGCAGTTACTCTCTCCTATATACTAAGTAGTCATCCACAGAATAGTAAAAAATATATATTATATATATTAGGTGCTAGAGCCTAATACAAGACAAGAATTCAATCTAAAAACTTCTAGAAAGATAATTAAAATAGTTCTAGTTTTAATTGTGTTAGTCACAAAACTGATGACACTGGAATATTTTCCTCATGTGAAACAACAATCAGTATCAAATGTTATGCCTAACATGAAGAACTAATGTTTAATCATTTTTATATCATTATTTGTAAGTGCTCCTATGTTTCAAAACTAATTAAATTTGCCTTCAGCATTTTGTAGCAGAGTTTTGGAACCAGCTCCTTTAGAATGCTCTAACAGCTTGACGGCCCTGTCAAAGTTTTCAGTATTTCTAAGCAGAGTCTCTAATCTTCTCTTAATTTTCTTCTGATCCTCAAGAGCACAGCCAATTACTATGGACTGAAACTTCTGGTCAACAGGCCAGATGGCACCTCGGATGAACATGCACCGTACAGTGACTTCAGGTGACACTCGGCATTTCCCAAATCATCCAGAAACTTACTGAGGACCTCATCAATAATCCTGGTGGCATGCTTTAGGGATTCTTGATGCTGGGGGTTTCTAATTGTTTCTACTGAAACTTCAACGGTGAGGGTTCGTCCCATCAAACGGTTTGCCATCAGATTTAATTCTTCTCTTTCTCCGTCGCTGATCTGCCTCATGTCCTGGCTATTTTGGATGCTGTGGATCATTTCCAGGAGGCTTTCTTTCTCTTGCTCAACGGCAGTTGCTGCTTCTCTCAAAGCTTCCACCCTGAGCTCCAGCTGGTCCAGGCTCTCCAGCAGGTGGCTGGAGCGGTGGGCCATGGAGGAGGAGGGGCAGAAGCACCCCTCGTTGGCTTCCGCGTTGATCTTCGCCTTAAGCCATCTGAGCCTCCAAGGCGGAGCGGCCAAGAGGTCACCGGCCTCTCCGGCAGCGGTGAGTGGAGAGTCCGGCGGTTGCCGTCACCGCGCGGGGCGCCCGCCTCCCTCTGACGCCCGTGGGGGGCGGCCTATTTATTTATTTGAGAGAGAGAGAGAGAGAGTACGAGCGGGGGGATGGGGCAGAAGGAGAGGGGCAGAAGGAGAGGGACAGAAGCAGATTCCCCACTGATCGCGGAACCTGATGTGGGGCTCGACCCCACGACCCTTAGATTATGACCTGGCTCAAGCGACTGAGCCACCCGGGTGCCCCTGTATAATAAACAGAAGTTTTAAGAAGACTTTATGAACCAAGATGATTACATTTTATGATAAATCTTTTAACTTTTAGCTCCACACACGTGGTTAGTCTCAAACTTGGAAATAATCAGGAGATAGACAGGGTCTACCTTAGTAAGGACCTGTCTGAGAGAGCACTATAGATTTAGTAAATCCAGTCATTTTTAACAATGTTAGCCTGTAAATTATAATGTGAATGAACTCATCACTGACCTGAGTAGATTCTTGACTAAAATCTATATGCCATACACATTTTTTTTCAACTGGGTAAATACAGAGCAAGTGAAACAGAATTTTTAGGAGATACAACATTAAGAAACAAAATTTAAGGTTCTTCACAAAGAGCATTAATTGAAAACCATTTTAGGTTAACACATTCCAAAATAGGTCAACAAAAGAATGTTTAGTCACTGTAATACCATATTTTGAGACGATTAAATTTTCTACTTCCTCCTTGGACTTTATGAGAACTGTCCATGAGTCTTCTTTCAAATGGCACCCAATAAAGAAAGGAGTCAGATCAGGTGACATACAACTATATTCTCCAAGCATCACAAGTGAGGACTGTGTCCTAACTGATCCACAGTTCTATCAGAATCGGGGTTGCTGGGTGTCAGTTTTACTCTACTTTTCTATTGTTCTTAACTGAGCTATATAAATCCTTCCATGAACCAAAACTTCAAGGAAAAGTCAAAAACTGATTTCAATTTTTATGAGGGCAAGGGATCACATGTATCTTGTGGACGACTGGATCCCTCATTCCAAACGCATTGAAGTGCTCCGTAAATACTGTGAATGCACGAGTAAACGAAAGAAGGAAAATGAAAATGGAGAACAATTTGAAAACAGGTGAAAATAATGAAAGACACATTTCTTAAGGTTGCCAAATTTATCTACTAAAAATACAAGATGCTGTTAAATTTGAATTTCAGACACACAACAAATAATGTTTTAGTACAAGTAGGTCCCAAATGTTGCAAGGGCCACACTTACACTACATATATACACACATATATATGGTTTGGAATTCAAATTTAAGTAGGCCTGCTGTATTTGATCTAGCAACCGGAACACCTCTGAATCTACATAAAATATTGCAAAACCACCAGGGAGTTGTTAAAAGGAGGAGTGCAGGATGCATGCTGTGCAAACCACAGGAGCTATTCTGGGTAATTCTATCAAAGTCCTAACATTAAACAGATGTAATATAGTACACAGAAAGGAAACTTCCATTTGACATCAGCAAAACAATGACTAACAAAAACAAGGGCTGTGGGGAAGGGAGTCTTGCAGAAAGGAAAAGCTTCTGAGCAATACTGAGGTCTGTGACCCCATTCTAGCTGAGAAACTGTAGGCAATGAGAATTACTTTCTTTGATCTCTCTTTTCTTTAGAGTAAAATAACTATAAAGATTCTTTCTCGTTCTAAATGACCTTTGAGACTAAGTTTTTTTTTTAGCAGCCGTCATCATTCATCCATAAAATCTAAGTTTCTAAGGATGACACATTTAATGGGTATTATAATGGCAATCAGTATAATCAAGTGCCACAAGACAAATGAGGTCACTGATTAATGGCCAAGGTTTTTTTTTTTTTTTTAAATTTTGTATGAATTTTAAAATAGATACTGACTCTATCACAAACAGACTTTTATCATTGTTAATATGAAAGGGTATAGATTGCAGGTATATAATCATACCATACCTTACATCCTAGACTTTGATGCCATAAACATAATGCAAAGTATAGTGAGTTTCTACACCTCTTGTTTAAACAACAGGGGAAAACTTTGCTTTTGCAATTTCCTTTCAGCTCAAACAACAAATGGAAACAGCACTAGGAGAAATACCACCAAACCTAAAGCTATGTCCTAATTTTCACAAATATTTTATAGGCATGATGCTTAACCAAAGAGCAGAAGAAAGGGTTTGGAAAAGTCCCACTTACGTTTCTAAATATCCTGTTGATACCCTTCAGCAGAAATAACTGAGAAATGACATCTGGGCAGTTAACAGAAAAATGATGGTATGATGAAGTAGAAAGATTTTAGATGACAGGATCATTGTAAGAAAGATTATTATGTATTGATTAGTCATGAAGGCAAATTTAACTTTTAATTTAAAACATGCATGGAACTGAAAAATAGAGGGAATTACTCCTCAGTATTTGACAAAGTAACAAAAACTACAGTGAGTGGGTTCTTACCAGCTGGCCTTAAGAAAGTTACCTAACCTTTCTGAGAACCGGAAGGACAGGTCAAGGAACCTCATGGACACTGAGCCCGGTGAAGTCAACCCCCCTCAGAACCTTAGGTTGTAGGGACTCCCATTCAACAGCACACAATTGGGCTAAACACCCCATTGACCAGAATCCCATTCGTGCCTGTTCTGCTGAGACCTGCCCTTAGCCAAGGAAAAACACCCACACGAGATTCAAAGGAGGAAATGAGACACAGGCTACATTTCTGCCATTTCCACTGCCAAGCACGGTTGTGGGGGCGTCTGTGGGGGTGATTCTGAAGTGTTTTTGGAATCATTCCTGGTAGCTCAGCCTGGAGCGTGCTCTTCTAAGCCTTGGAATGACTTTGTAAACACCTAATTCTCTACCTTAAAACCCTCTCAGTTAAACAAGGGAGACATTTCTTGTTTTCTGAGTGAAACTTGTCCAATACAGAGAGGATCTAAGGTTCCTCCTCAGTGTTTCAGTGAAAATTTTCTATGCTGACATAACTATGCCATTTCCTGTCCAACGAATGTTTTTCTTCCAAAAAACCAGTAATTTGAAGTAATTTTGAATTAAATGGATGTTGCCGTAATTGAATATAAAGGGATAGGTATTGACAATGATCAAAAGGCTTCTCCCTAGAAAGGGATAAAGATCTCCTGAATTAGCATCCATGGGTTACGTTTTGTGTGCGTACCTGCTACAGCTGTATCCAGTTCATCTTCATCCAACGATTCCTGTGTCATAAAGTCTTTCAGAGGAGACATTGGATAGGATGTATTGAGATTCAAGCCCAACATGAAGTTGTGCACCTTCCCAGCACGTCCTTCTCTGGTATTGAATAAAGTTGAATCACTCACCAAAGCCATTATCATACGATGGACCCAACTTGCTTGATTATCATTGTGATATTCGCTTTGAGCATCTTCATTTTCAGTGCCTAAGGAAAAAGAACTAGAACATTATATAGATTCCCAAGTCCATTAAAAAAAAAAAAAAAAAAAACCAAAAAAACTTTGGATAAATACCTAGTAGTGCAATTGCTGGATTGTAGGGTAGCTCTATTTTCAACTTTTTGAGGAACCTCCATACTGTTTTCCAGAGTGG